AGTTTCTAAAGTAAATTTGAACAAGTGAAACTAAACTAACCGTTAGATTACAATAGACTAACATGTGCTGGGATTTAGGGTATTTTGGTCACTTATTTTCAGTTTCAGATTAAAAAAAAATGTGTTTTAGCATGTCTTTAAAATATTTACAAGAACAGCGCAATCCACTCGAGTTCTTTGTTTGTGCTCTTGGAGGAAGAAAATTCCCTGGTGGCACTCTCCAAAATGGCGGTAAACGCAGTGCATTTGCAAATAAGACTAACTAATGAAATTATGTAAAATTCCTAAAAGCTTACACCGTTTGATTTATTTGTTTTCATTGAATAATTTCAAGTGTTCTTAGCTTGTAAACAAATTAGTTGAGGAGCTTTTGCAATTATGGGGGCTTTCATATGCTTTTAGAAGGGCATAATTTGCACAGATGGGTGTTAAAAAGCCCACGTTTCACTCAGTCCTCTTCTAATTACTTACAGTTTTATCCTCATTAAAATTCGACGCTATACTGAGCATTAGTCGTCTTTTCTATATGTAAGAGGGGATTATATTAAAAGGAAATGGTTTTTTAAAGCATATTCTATTAAGTTTAAACAAGAATTAACACAAGTCGTTAGTGAAAGCATGAATGGGAAACTTTCGAAATTAAAAAGTTCCTATGATGAATTCTCGTCATCTCTGAAACTTTAAAATTAATTTCAAGATTATTGAAATTTGAGATGAACGGCATTCCGATCAATGATGGAAGTGATTAGAACACCTTTACCTCTCACAATTTATCCCAATTAAGCCAAAAATGAAATAAATTTTGTTTTTCCAGAAAATTTCAGTGCCAATATTTTCAAAAATAAGCTAAATTAAGTCAAAAATGGTGTTATTTTTAAGTTTTCATGAGTTTTTCCACCAGAAAAAATTTTGTCAAAAATTAGATAAAAAATTACCAAATCATGTCAAAAATTGTGTTATTCTTGAGTGTTGAGGCACGTTTTTTGAACTAAAATTTCACTTTTTTAAAAAAGTTTCTTAAGATGACTAAACTACATCAAAAATTTAAAAATTTAAGTACGTTTTTCAGTTTGAAACGTATCGTTCTAGGACCAAAATAGTGTTTTTGAGATTATTTAACTTATTTTTTTAAATTTTGTTAAAACAGACTGTAAAGTCATAAAATCACATTAAAAATGCTGCAAAATTTAAATTTAAAAAATCATTAAATGACGTTATTTTTGTTTTAACATTGAAGTACGTTTCAATTAAAAACTCAGTTTTTTCAGAAATTTTGATAAAATTACTAAATTAGGTCGAAAATTTTTTGCTTTGCGTTTAAGCTTCTTGTGGAGCTTTTTTCCAAAAAATTTATTAAAATGGTTTATAAATCTCCCAAATTAGGTCAAAAATTATATATGTTTTGCAAAAGCAAATCAAAGATAAAAAAATATTAATTTTGTTAAATTGGATCTCAAAATCATTAAATTAGATGAAAAATATCATAATTTTTGATTTTTTGGAAGTTTTCATGTATTTTTCAGCCACAAACGTAATTAATACAAAAAATTTTGTCAAAAATTAGCTACAAAATTACCAAATCAAGTCAAAAATTGTGTTATTCTTGAGTTTTTCGAGTGCTGAAGCACGTTTTTTGAACTAGAATTTCATTTTTTTTTTAAATTATTTGTTGAAATGACAGACGGTAAAAATGAGTATATTACATAAAAAATCAGAAAATTTGAGTGAGTTTTGCATT